CCCAGTCTATGGCTTGTCTATTCATTTTCTAAACATTGTCTCCAGATAAACAGGAGGTTATAAGTTTGTTGAAGTCCAACTTACCAATTTCTTTTCTGTTATGGTTTGTGCTTTTTGTGTCCTGTCTGAGAAATCTTTGCCTATCCCAACATCACAGATATATTCTGATGCTATTTTATGCTAGCAGCTCTACTGCTTTAACTTTTATGTTTGAGTCTGTGATCTATCTTGAATTAACTTTATGTTATATGCTATCGTGGTGTATGATATGATATAGTATGTGGTGTGATATAGTAGTCAAATGTTATTTCTTCTCACGTGGATAACCAATTTTTCCAGAACCATGTGTTGAAAAGACCATTCTTTCCCCCTTTGAAATACCTTTGCCAAAAGTCATTTGACCATAGAGTGTGGTTCCGTTCATGAACTCTGTGATCTGATCCATTGATTTTTGTTTTTATGCCTATTAATACCACAGACTCTTCATTACTGTTGACTTGTAGTAATTCTTAGAATCAGGAAATGCGAATCCTCCAAATTTGTTGCTCTTTTTAAAGATCCTTTGACCAAACCCGATCTTTTACATTTGAATACATATTTTAGAGTCAACTTGGCAATTCTTAGATAGAAACCTGCTAGGATTTTGACTGGGATTGCATTGATTATATAGATAAAATTAGGGAGAATTAAAACCTTCGCAATATTGATTCTTCCAGTCCATGAAATATATACTAGTATTTTTACCCTAAGTAACCAATTATCTTTTAAATACATTAATAATTTTTTAAAGTCTTTCATATTTACTAACATATTTTTCATTTCTGCCACTCCTCATCACTTTAGGTGGATTTGAATTTTTATCTGTACTTCGTTTCTTTTTAGCTTTAAGAATTTTTATAGTGCAGGTCTACTATCATGAACTGTTTTAACTTTTATTATCTGAAAATATTCTTATGTTTTGTTCTTTCATAAAATAAAGTATCTCTGGATATTAAATTTTCAGTTAAAAGTTTTGGTTTTTGACACTTTATAATGTCATTCCATTGTCTCTGCCTTGCATCCTCTGTGATAAGGTATCAGTCATTGCTTTTATTATTGTTCCCATGTGTGTAATGTGTCTTTTATCTCTGGCTGATTTTTAAGTTTGCTCCTTATCTTTGGTCCTCAGAATTGTGATTAAAATTTGCCTGCGGGCACCTGGGTGGCTCATACTCATGATTTCGGCTTAAGTCATTATCTCACATCCTGCAGTTGCCTACCCCTACCACCCCCCACATCCCCACATCCATCCAGGCTCAGCATGGAGCCTGCTTGGGATTCTCTCTCTCCCTCTCACTATGGCCCTCCCCTGCCTGCACTCTCTCTCTCTCAAAATACATAAACAAACATTTTTTTTAATAAATAGATAGATAGATAGATAGATAGATAGAAAGAAGTTGCCTGGATACACTTTTCTTTGTGTTTATCATAAGACTTTTTTGAGCTCCTTGGATTTGTGAGTTGATATTTTTCAACAAGTTTGAAATACGGGGGGCAATTATTTCCTCAAATATATGTTCTGCCCCAATTACTCTCTCTTCTCTCTCTCTTTTTTTTTTTAATCGAAACTACTTATTGTTATACCCCCTGGTATTGTGCAACAGGTGTTTTATTTTTTGGTTTTATTTTTCTTTTGGTCCTTCAACTTGGATAGTTTCTACTGCCATGTTTACAAAAGCATTGATTTTTTTTCTTCTCCAGTGTCCAATCTGCTGTTAAACCCTTCCAGTAAAATTTTAATTTCAGATCTTGTACATCTGCTGTTCCTGTTTCATTTCATTTCATTTATTATAGTTTGATCTATAAACAGATTCCCCACATGTTCTCTCACTGTGGCCATTTTTCCTTAATATTTATATTGGTAATAGCTATTTTCTAACCCTTACCCACTAATTCCAGTACCTGTGTGATCTCTGAATTTGTCATCTGCTTATATTTCAGATTTCTCTGTTCATTCACACATATTGTAACTTTTTTAAAACTTATACTTGGCATCATGAATGTTGTGGGGTTTTGTTTTGTTTTGTTTTGTTTTGTTTTGTTTTGTTTTGGCCTGGATTTGGTTGTCTTCCTAGAAAGAGTGTTGGATTTTATTTTGGCTGGCAGATAAGTTTTGGTAGATCAGCTCGAACTTTTTGAAGCTTGGCTTTAGAGCCCTTCCTCTAGGACTATAGTGCCCTCTCCCTAGGCATGGTCTTCCTAGGGTCTCAACTAAATGACCAAAGTATTAAGCAAAATCTCTTCATTTTTGCCAATTGAACCACCTGTGTCTCTTTTATCTTCCATATTCCCTGCAGCTGTTCTCCACTAGACCTCATAGAGTTTGCCCTATGCCTGTACAGCTTGTATTTGACCAAAGATTCAAGGAGTCACCTGTGCAGATGTGTGAAACTCCTGTTCTGCCCAGGTCCCTCTCCACAGTAAATTCTGGCCAACTCAGCAATCTGGATCTAAGCAGAGCAAGACTGCTATTCTGTTTGGGTACTGTTTGGGTACACCTCTGGCTGTAGTCTAGAAAGTTCACCAAAGCAGAAAGTGGAGTAAATATGGAGCCTACCTTGTATATCTCCTCTCCAAGATCAAAACCCTGTTTTGCCTACTGACTTAAATCAGTTGCTTCATTTATTTTGTCTAGTTTGATGGTTGTTTATGATAGAAAGGCAAATCAGGTAGCCATAATTGTGCCATGATCAGAACCAGAGTCTTTAATCTTCTATGCTTTAATATTGTCAAAGGTTTCTTTGAGGATGCATTTGAAGGTTCTTGCTAATCAATTCTTGTATCGTTAATGTGGTTGGCCTCTCCCATGTATTTTGGATTATAGACACCTTTGAGAATCTAATGCAAGTTCAGGGAACTTTCTTCAGTAGAAAAAAAAAAAAGTACGTGGTCCCATTTTGTAGGCAGTTCCAGAGATTTCATTGATCCCCCCCAAAGCCCAACTGTTAAGCACTGCTATCAACAGACTGAGATTTAAGAATCCCTCGTCAATATGCTTTCTACAGCCGTAAATATGTGGCTGTTCTGTTTTGTTTGCAAAAATGAAAATAAGCTGATAATAGCCAACATAGAAAGTTAGGATAAATTTTACAGAAAGTAAATAGTTTCGGATACTGGAACAAATATATATTTCTTTATATACCTCAACAAGTTTATGATTCACTTTCTGAACTTAGGAAAAGGTTTAAGATCTTTCAAAGTCTTTTCTTAAGTGAGCCTAAACTGTATATCTACCACATTGTGGCTTCAGTTACACTTATCTTGTGAAAATTGATCCAACTGATTGTTGTATGGAAATCAGTTGGAGTTTTTTGGTAAAAAACGGTTCGTCATTACGTAGTTAACCAATTTAATTATGTGCTTGTGGGTTCTTCTGTGATTAATAAAGGGAAATGCACCAATAAGGTCCAGTTCAAAACCATACAAGAGGCATTCACCTTATCTTCACATCAGTTTCTTCAGAAGCTGACTCTGAGATAAGAACTCAAATACAAGAAATGTATTTTTTAATGTTTATTCATTTATTTTTGAGAGAGAGTGAGCGTGCATGCATGTGAGCAGGGGAGGGGCAGAGAGAAGGAGAGAGAGAACCCCAAGCAGGCTCTGTGACATCAGTGCTGAACTCAGTGTGGGGCATAAACCCACGAACCATGAGATCATGACCCGAGCCAAAATCAAGAGTCAGACACTCAACTGACTGAGCCACCCAGGTGCCCCAAGAAATGTATTTTGGAGGTAATCTCAGGGAACATTTGAGGGGCATAGGGAAGTGAGATGGGATAGGGAAGAAAGCCAAGGAAGGGACTGTGGTGAGGCAGGTTACTACTTTGGAAAACTAGAGTTTAATCCCACTGGAAATCTCTGGGGGCCAGTGTAAAACACACTCCTTACAAACCTCATATCCAAGGGGGAAGAGACCTGGGTTATCTGTCCACCAATTCCCACTAGATATTGGTTGAGGGCTGCACCCAGAGAGTGTCGATTATCTGGCATGTCAGGCCTACTGTATGTGGGTGGACGGAAAGGATTTGGTGGCTAGAGAGATCCTTGAAAGATCACAGGTGCTGGCAGTTGAACTCAAGCTGTCACATATACATCAGCGCTGAGGGAATATGGGTAGGGCACAAACAGCAGCTGCTATTTCCTTCAAGCCAAAATAGTAACTAGCACTGATGACACTTAGAGTAAATAGCCATGTTTTCCCCCATTTTATAGTTTTATTTTGTTCTGCAGGATGATGGATGCCTCCCTTGGAGCCCCCAAGACTTGGTATCTGTCAAACAGCATTCACTCCCTAATATTTATCATATTCAGAAAATAATGTTCAAATTTGCTGATTTGCTTTGGTTTGTATATTACTTCCCTCTGGCTACGGTAGCTACAGCATCATCAGAACATGTTTTAATAATAAACAAATAAAAGTCCCTGCCAAATGTAATTAATTTTCTCTCATATAAATTTGTTTTCTGGTGTGATGTCACCACAGGATTCTACATGACAAGGAAAATGGATGTAGTCTTTGTGGTGACTGATTTAGTTCATCGTCTAAATTGGAATCTAGAGTAACTTCAGGGGGAAAACATTTTCTTGGTATGCTTTGCTTCCTTTGAAATAGCTACGTAATCATGGTTCCTACTGTTTTCAGTGCCAGCTTCTGTCCTAAGTCCTTTGTGTGTATTGATTCATTTAGGATTCATACAGCCCTAGGAGGTATGTACTATCATCAGTCATATATTATAACTAAAGACAAGGAGGCAGATAAAAATAACTTTCCTTACCTAGTAAAGTCACAACAATGTTAATTAGAAACTTCTAGAATTAAAACCCCTCCTAACAACCGCGAGCGCATTGTTTCCCGTCTGCATCTCAACCACCACGAAGGAACTTCATCAGCCAGCAATGTAAATCCAGAGTCTATTTCTTCTTCTCAAACTTTTGCCAAACTTGGATTCCAGCTGGGCTTTGCCTGAACTCCCCCTGAAGAAAGAGGCCACTTCAGAATCTTGATGTACCTCATGGTGGAGGCTGCTCCGGAAGATATTTAGCAAACCAAAGCAATGTGCTCCAAACAGAGGTAAATAAACTTTTTCTATAAAGGACCAGATAATAAATATTTTCAACTTGACCAGCCATCGATAGCCCCTGAACAGTAGACAATGCATAAATAACTGAGCATGGCTGTGTGCCATGCCAAATAAAACCTTATTTATAAACACCAGCAAGCAGCAAGTTGGAGTTTGCTCACAGGCTGTTTGCCAGCCCCTGCTCTAGAGCTATATGGAGTGCAATTACGTTCCCCATCATCATCTGCCTTGAGTTCCACTTTCAAAAAACATTTGCATATGTAAAGCCATTATTACCCAATTTGTAGGAAAAACTCATGTGAAGTGAAGGCTAGAAGGGACTTGGGGAGATTTTCCCACTTGATTTGGTTTCAACGTAAAGGCTTCTTTTAGTGCCCCTGAGCTTGGTTTATAAATGTTTGCTAGCGAAGGGTAGATTGCAAGAACTGGAGAGAGGATGTTCAGGGAGAAACAAGTGTTTCCCTTGTTAAAATTAGACAATAGCCTCACAAAGTTCGTTAGAGTTCTTCAAATTAATTAAATAGGGAAACGAGTGTTAAAGCATTAGAAGCGCGTAAGAACGATAATAGAACAACCTTTACTTTTTCAGGCAGGGTAAAAAAGGAAAAGAATTCCATTCATAACAATTTAATGTTTATTCACAGTTCTTACAATAAAATCAAGTGAATATATGGTCGCTATTGGGAGGTAACCAAGTGACATAAGTATGCCTAATTTGGGAGATATTTTATTCTCTGGGAAACAACTTCGATGGGGAGAAAAATTGACTTGATTATATGTAAGAAGTTATCATTGCAGCATCCTAAACTAAAAGAGACCCTAGACATTAGCTTTCATTTCACAAATAGGAATCTGAGGCTCAGGGGGTTCAATGTAAAGCCAAAGGTCATCCAATTAGAAGTGAAGCTGGGATGGAACCCACATGCACTGATGAAAGCCATGTTCCAATTTTAAAGTTTTTTGTTTTTTGTTTTGTTTTTTTTTTGAGAGAGAGAGAGAGCACGCATGCATGTACACAAGCTGGGGATGTGCAGAGAGAGAGGGAGAGAGAATCCCAAGCAGGCTTCACATGTGAGCACAGAGCCTGAGCTGGGGCTCAAACACATGAACCACGAGATCATGACCTGAGCCCAAACCAACTTCACATATCAGCGCAGAGCCTGAGTTGGGGCTCAAACACATGAACCATGAGATCATGAACTGAGGCAAACCAAGAGTCAGTCACTCAACCAACTGAGCCACCCAGGCGCCCCCCATGTTCCAATTTTCGAGCCAGAAGGGTTCAATCCCAGCTCTGCTGCTTAAAACTTTCTAACTTTTAGGAAGTCTCTTAGAATTTCTGCGTTCTCCTTTGTATTTTCTGCAACTGGGAATGACCAGTCAAGGTTTTGCAATGGTTAAATGAAATATCAGGTAGAAAGTCCCAGGCACTTAGTAGTTACCCAATAAATGATATCTATAATAGTCATCGGATAAGTATTTGTTGGGAACTTACCATCTGGTAAGCACTACCTCAGGGAATGGGGGTGCAAAGACAAATAAGACAAAACCCTCAGCCTAGAAATGCTCATAGGAAACAGACACACGAACAGATCATTTGTAACATAGTCTGTTTTAAGTGCTATAACTGGTAAGCACAAAGGCCAGGAGAATATGGAAGATGGAGCATTGAGGACTGTGCTATCCAACCCAGCATCTGTTAGGTACATGTATCAATGGAGCCCTTGAAATATGGCTAATCCAAATTGAGATGTGCTGGAAATGTAAAATACACACAAGACTTTTAAGACATAGGACGTGAAAAAAGAAAAGAAAATACCTCATAAATAACTTTCTATATTCAGTATATGTTGTAATGAAATGTTTAGATAAATAAGGCAAAATCATATCTCTCAAGCATTATATATATTTGGCAGCACGTAAGCAGAGGAGGGGCAGAGAGAGGGGGACAGAGGATCCGAAGCAGGCAAGCCCAGTGTGAGGCTCGAACTCATGAACCACGCGATCGTGACCTGAGCCCAAGTCGGACACTCAACCAAGTGTGAGCCATCCAGGTGCCCCTGTCTTTCAAGCATTCTAAGTCTGGTAAAGAAGACAGACAATTGCTATATTGCAATACAGGCAAAACAGTATTGGGGAAATCCACACGGAGAAAGCATGCGTGATAAGACTTCGGACTTAGATCTGAAAGCTGAGCGGTTCTCTGGGGTGAAGGAGGGAGGAAAAGCGGCCAGCCATCCCAGTGGGAAAGGTGGGAGGAAACACACGACAGTGTTCTGGAAGCAACAAGCGGTCGTTTCTTCTGCCAGTTTTCTAAGATGTCCTTAAACCCTATCTGAAGAATTTAGAGCCGTTTGCAAGTCGCTTCCATAGTTTCGTTACTCAAGCAACATTTATTCGGCATCAGATAATATCATAGTAGCTAATATGTACTCGTTTCTTATAATGTGCCAAATACCGAGTGCTTTTCATTTAATCCTCAAAGTAACCCATGAGATAGGAAACCTTATCCCCCTATTTTATAGCTAAGGAAACTGAGGCCTACAAGGATTCAGTCACTTGCCTGAGATCATACAGTTAGGAAAAGGCAGAGCCTGCCTTGGATTACAGGTCTGACACCCGGTCCCCGATTCTGTGCCCTCAATTCCGTCAGGGTGCTGCCTCCCCACCTAGTCTGTATCCTCCTGGGAGGATTTGAGCAGGAAAAAAGCAGAAAGTTCACAGCATAGCCAGAGGGAACAGCTCCATTTGTGGCCACCCGGGATGTGACTGCCAGCCCTCATCCTAAAACCAGCCCTGTGTAAAGCACATTTTGAAAGCGCAGAAGACTCAACCGAGAACTTTCTGTGGAGACAGAGTAACCAGAAGTGGTCCTGAAGGGTAGAACTCCGGAGAGCAGGCAACAGAAGCAGTCGGAAACTGCCCCTGGGAGAGCTGCCTCCGCCAGGAGGTGTGCCTGGAAGCTGCTGTGAACAGACAGGCAGGCAGCCACGATCCCCAGAAATGGCTGCTGAGGCTGCTACTAGAAGGGCAGGCCAGGGAGATGTTGTAACCAAAGGTTTCTTGACCTCTGCCATCTCAGAGAAAACTCTCTGGACATCAAGGCAATCGACTCCATTGATCTTTTAGTAGCCTACTTCCTAAAGATATGGTATAAAATTGCCTACCTATAGATCTGCTGAGGTTGGTCCCCAGAACTTCTGAGTAGGGGGTTTTAGGCCAGCAATATGGAAAAAGAGAAAAGGGGAGTGTTGTGTTGGAGAAAGAGAAACTAGGACCCAGCTAGTAAGTTTCTGGTGGAGGTTAAGCCTTTGGATGAAAATACATGGTTGCATATATATGGCATATATAAAAATAACATATTCTATAGGATTAACCTAAATAAGTAAATTTATACTTTATGTCAGTTTTTTTTAGTTTATTTATTTATTTTGAGAGAGAGAGCAAGCAGGGGAGGGGCAGAGAGAGAGAGAGAGAGAGAGAGAGAGAGAGAGAATCCCAAGCAGGCTCCGCCCTGTCAGCACAGATCGCCACTCGGGGCTCCATCTCACAAACCGTGAGATCATGACCTGAGCCGAAATCAAGAGTTGGATGCTTGACCAGCTGAGCCACCCAGGTGCCCCCATGCAAGTTTTCACTTTTAAATATAGATAACTCCTGGAATCAAGGATTTCTGATAACAAATGGTGATCAAAAAGATTTGAGTCACGTTGGGAATCAGATTCTCGGACAAAAGTTTGGTATATTTGACAACACTTGTGCCTCGGCTGTAGACAGTGTGTAGGCTGGCTGGCACAAATTCCACTCTTTTCTACCCGATAGCTATGCAACCATTAATCACGACTCCTCACTTCTCTGAGAGCAGAGATTTGGTCTTGTCATGTTCTCTTACTGAATCTCCAGTGCCTGGAATATGCCTACCGCATAGTCATTACTCAATAAAAATCTGTTCAGCTAAACTGAATTGAATAGCATCATAAGAATGATTCTTGTCAAATATTTATTAGACATTCTGCATTGCGTGGTGCACTTGATGTTCAGAACTAATGTAAAAGAAGTCCAGCAGACTTTTCTCCAGAGTCTACAAGGAACCCTTACAAGTTGATAATGAGACAAACAACCCAACTAAAACATTGGCAAGAGATCTGAATGGACATGTTACTGAAGACAATATACACATGAATACGAAGCACGTGAAAAGATGCTCAACATTGGTCACTAGGGAAATGCAAATTCAGTTCAAACCACAATGAGATACCACTGCATACTCCCTACAATGGCTGGAACAGCTGTCATCAATACAACAGACAAGAAGGGTGAAGAAACAGGAACTCTCATGCGCTGCTGATAGGAATGTAAAATAACACTGCCATTTTGGAAAATAACTTGGTAGTATTTTAAAAAGTGACACATAAATTTACCATGCACCCCAGTACTTCCATTCCTAGGTATCTACCCAAGAGAAGCCAATATATATGTCTACACAATATGTCCACTTGCCTACTTTGAGGGATATAAGAACCTCATTGATAGTTGAATCTACTGTTGCTTAGCTAAGGTCAGTAATTTTTCCCAAGGTCAGAGAGTCTGTCAAGAGTAGAGCTAATATTTAGGGGCGCCTGGGTGGCTCAGTCAGTTAAGCATCTGACTTTTGGTTTCAGCCCAGGTCACAATCTCACAGTTTTGGGAGTTTGAGCCACTCCTCAGGCTCTGCCCTCCTGAGTGCAGAGCCTGCTTAGGATTCTCTCTCTCTCCATCTCTCTCCACCCCTCCCCCACTCATGCTGTCTCTGTCTCAAAATAAATAAAATTTAAAAAAAAGAAAGAGTAGAGCCAATATTTTAAGACAACCTTCTCACTGCATCACACTGTTGCCCAGATGTGTACAGATTTTGTAAGTACTTTTTGTTGTTAAAAATAAAACGTATTAAAAACTGACAGCAATACAGACGGGATAAAACACTGTAAATGTGGTCTTTTATTCTGTAAAGTTCTATAGTGAGACAGTTTTGGTAACCTTTCTATATTTCCATTTCCTTATCTGCAAAATGAAGATATTAATAGCAACTAATTCATAAAATTATTTTTGAAGTAATGAATGAGGCGATACAAGATACAATGTCCCACCGATAGAAATGCTCAATGCTTGTTATCTATCATCCCCAGTGTTGATATTAGAATAGCCACGTTTCATCATTTCTCCATGGAAGTTGAGGAAAAGACAACAAGCATCAGCTAATTTATGGGGAATCTTCTCAAGAATATGTTGCATATTTAGCTTCAGGAATCATGGAAAAGTCCTAATGGATGCTTTGATTATCTCACTTTGGGAACAGGAAAACTGCAAACATGCTGACTACGCTTGGGCTAGGAATGTACTCTTTTGAATACATTAATTTGAGATTATGTTGTATTAGTCAGCATAATGTGGTCACAAAAATGATTTACTTCCCAGCATTGCTAAATTTGTCGTCTTAAGCAAGATAAAGCCGTTAAGCAACAGTAATTACAGCCTGAGTTCTCTCAAGTGGAGTCTACGGAAAGTGAACCAATGGGAAATAAGCTGTTGATCTGATTTAATAGTCATGGCGAAGAGGGGGCAACATTACGAGAGAGATCAGCCCTGTTAGAGGCCGAGACCGGATGTGACCTGTGGGATGTGACCTGTTTGTGTAAATGATGCTCTGTCCTCGAGGCTGGGTCACCCAGATGCGGACAAAAGAGTTGTCACCACCATGCCCATTGCCAGCCACATCCGTCCAGAAAGAACAGACCAGAATAGCGCTGGACCTTGGGATCAAAACTGGCGAAATGGGAGTGTATTAGTTCACTAGGGCTGTCATAACAAAATTCCGCAGACTGGGTGGCCTCAACCATAGAAATTTATTTTCCTTGCACTTCCGGAGACTAGAAATACCAAATCAAGGTGCTGACAGAGTTGGTTTCAGCTGAGGCCTCTCTCCTTGGCTTGCAGGTGACGACCCCTTGCAGCCTCTCCACATGGTTGTCCTGTGGGTGTTCGTCCCTGATGTCTCTCCGTGTCCCAGTTTCCTTTTCATTGAAAAACACCAGTCAGACTGGATTAGGACCGATCCTAATGTTACTCATTTTAATTTACCCCTTTAAAGGTCTTGTCTCCAGGGGAGCCTGGGTGGCTCAGTCAGTTAAGCCTCCCATTGAGGCTCAGGTCATGATCTCACGGTTCGTGGGTTCGAGCCCCGCTTTAGGCTCTGTGCTGACGGCTCCGAGCCTGGAGCCTGCTTCGGATTCTGGGTCTTTCTCTCTCTCTCTGCCCCTCCTCTGCTCATACTCTGTGTCTCTCTCTCTCTCTCAAAAATAAACATTAAAAACAATGTTTTCTAAAAAGGTCCTGTCTCCAAATACAGCCACATTCTGAGGGATTCCTAGGCCAAAATATTAAATCTATAAAATATTTTTGTTTTCCTACTGAATTAAATTAGGCTTGTCAATTGCAAATGTGCTTTTCATGTGGAGATTGAACCCAAAGTATGGAGCTTGCTGTCTGGCTGTGTAGTTGATGGCTGTGTTCTCCATTAGATAGAACAGGAGGTGGCCAAAGGGTTAATTCTCTTCTAAAGTCATGTAAAAAGTTCAGAGAGAATGTCATAAAATATATTTCCTGTGAATCACTATCATTTCTGAAGGAAATGACTGTAACAGAAATCTGTGCTATGTTCTCAGCATTGCCTAAGAAAAACAATTGATAGAAAAAGACATATATATAAGTCTTTAAACCTTAACTTGCCCCCCAGCAGGACTGTAGGGAAGCAATGATATTCTGGGCCAAAGGCCCCAAGCCAATTGTGTTTAAAGAGGCACTTGAGGCTTCCCTTTGAAAAGCTGAGTGCCATCATTGGTCATTCTCTAGTTGAATGGACAAGGTACCCCAAGGCATCTCCCAAACACTTTTTCATTTATACTTTAAAGATAAAAGGCATCACTCCTTCTAACACATTAGACCAAGGATCTTGGACAAACAGCAGAGGACAGCAATAAGACTCATTTATCTATTTCTGGGTAGATAGAAGCTGGGTAACTGGCTTCACTGCATCCGCTTCCGGCTCCAGCAAAAGCTCCGCCTCCCCAAGAAATTAGAGGAACAATAACAACAACAACCATAATAATAAAAAGAGCTGCCGTTCACTGGGAGTTTATTAGGCACCAGATATGTTTTAGGTGCTTCATGTACATTAACTTATTGAATCATGATAGTAATCCTAGGAAGCCAGTTACCGGTAATAATATAACCTTCCCATTTTGCAGATGGGGAAAATGAGGACAGACAGGTGAAGTGCCTTGAACAAGATCACAGAACCGGTAAGTGATGTTGCTGGGAGTTGGACCCAGCCCGTACAGCTTTGGCATTCATTCGTGTGTAGGCTGCTCTCTACTGCCTTGCCAAAGCACTTTTCCACCTACCTGGACATCACCCCCAACAACAAACCTCAACCCCACCTTCTCTCACTTCTGCCCTCCTTAAGTGGCAAACAGATGATTCTCTAGACAGCTTCCTTGTGGGCTTTTTTTTAAATAGTATATGTGGATGCCAATCATATCACTTGAACACACAAATGTTGGCCCCATTTCCCTCTGTGTGATGTTTGTGTACGTGTCTCCCCCCAGCGCCCTTAAATCCCCTCTGAAAATACGGATAATTCAACAAAGTAAGCAACTATGTGTTGAGAGGAGGCTACTTTGACTGGCTTCACTTTCTGGGTTCACTCAAGTTCCAGTGCAGGCACTGTCTGGGCACTTAGTAGGGAGGGATAATGAAAAAAAACCACAAGCCTAGTCTCTGCAAAGAGCTGACCTTCTAATCACAATATTCCTTACTGCTGGCTGCACATTCAAATCACCTGGGGGAGCTTCAGCATGAATACCAGTGCCCTCAACCCACCCTACACCTTGCAAACCAGAATTTCTAGGGGCAAGGCCAAGACGTAGTAGTGTTTCTGGAGCTCTCCAGGTGACTCGGTAAGCAGACTGGGCCTGCCCATCACTGTGGAGAGACATACATGTAAATGTATGAGACCTTGTGGTTAGAGTAAGGTCAGAATGCTATAAATAGCAGGAAGAAACAACCACTGCTTCTGACTATAGACCCTACAGATGCCTTCACAGAGGAGAAGACACTGACCTGGTTTAATTGGATGAGCAAACGTTCACAGGGTAGAAGGGAAGGGGTCTTGGATATTCCAGGCAGATTGAAGAGAAAATGCAAAGATACAGAGTTAGGGAAAAGGAAGATGCATTTTGAGAAGAAATATGGTTTCCCATGGCTAAATAGTAGATGGATGTCAGCAGGGCAGGAATCAGATCACTAATGACCTTGAGTGGCATGCTGGGTGTTGTGCTTGAATCCTGCAAGTGAGGGTCCTAGGTGTAAACCAATACCCTTCTCCCCTTAGGTCATGTAAAAGAGGACTCAATATTTTTCTATAGGAATTTTACTGTAAAACTTAGGAAAAACAGAACCAAAATCAGAGAAAATCAAAGGCACAGAAATTAAATCATTATCCTATATAATTAACATATGGAACATACCTCTGTCATCCCTAAAAAAAAAAAACTCTTCAGGTAGGAGCCCTTATCAAGTAAGGACCGTCTTCCCTTCTATCTCATGAGCATCTCTTAGCTCGGGTCAACCTTCAGAAGGAAGAAGAAATTTTTTCATCTGATTTAAATTCTCCTGCCAAGAGGGAGATAATATCAGGAGTCTCCTATTTGTGGAATGTGGAATACTTTTAAATCTCTTTTATTTTTCAAGGACAGGAGATGGTCTGTATGTGGAGGTCCCATTTTTCCCTGTTCCCCAAGTGCTTTAATAAATCTCTCCATGGGAAATGTGCACTCTGTGAGATTCCAATTCTTAGAGTTTAACAAAGTGATGCGTGTCAAGTCAATCAGTAGTGTCACTTAGCTGTATGACTTCAAGTCATTTCACCTCTTGGAGTCCCACGTTTCTCCACTGCATCATGAGAAGCTCTGCTCAGTTCCCACCAGCTCTGAGATTCTGTGACTTCCATGGATTCTAAATTTTTTCCAGCCCTAAAGTTTGGTGATCAAAATCACTTCTGATGCTAACTCACCATGATTCATCTGACAGCCCATGAAAGCTATTTTACACCTTGACACCCACCCCCCCTCCCCAGAGAGAAATCAGCTTAAAATGTTTTTCTTTGACAAAAATGTGGGCTTAGTACTTAAAAATGCTGTCAGGTTGCATGCAGTTTGATGGAACTGCTTAAGAAATCTGTCAACAGCATACTGGGTTAAATTGTTGAGCAAGCGAACTGATCCTGTACTAATGTAGTTGGATATTTTCTGACAGCCTGCGATAGCTTCTTTAGGTCTTTATGTTCTGTCAACTCCTGGAGATAGCTTCTTAAAGAGGGGTGAGTCTTTATGTATTAAAGAATGTCAAATGTGGTTCCGTCACTTACATTTCAAGGGCATTCTACACAAGGCTGCCCTAGGTCTCTGTTGGAATGCCCAGAAAAGTTCTGCTACACCTTGCTCCAAAGAAAACGATTCTGTTTCTTCTCGGAAGACTAAGGTTCATTCTTGTTGGAATATTTCAGTTTTGCCAAAAAGGCTACAAGCCGTGGCTTTGGATACACAAAATTAAAGGAAACTGCTCAGTACCTATTTTGAGTGTCCCAGTCTCTTACCATGGGACTTCTTCATAGTGTACCTCCTCTATTCCAAGAACCAGCCCAACCACTTGCATTAACAGTTTCGAATTGAAACCCCAAAGACAAACTCAGATAGCTATGGGTCAGATTTTGCCCACACTCTGTAAGTGTTCAGCTATTATTGCTGCCGAAATGACATCATTACTATTATTCAATCTCATGTTCCCATTCCCTGTAACTCAAGGAATAGTGGGTGGACCAGCAGAATTGGCACCACTTGGAACCTTATGAAAAATAAAGAATTGAAAGGCCCACTCTAGGCCCGCTTAATCAGAATCTACTTTTTTTACAAGATAGCCAGGTGATTTGTAAGCACATTAAACTTTAAGAAACACTCATTTGGAGTATATAGACTTTGGAGTCAGACTAGCTGTGTGACTAGGCAATGAAAATAAAACCTGATATTTACTCAGGACTTAGTGGTGCCAGAACTGTGCCCAACTCATCCTGATTAACGCCTCTGAGCCCCTGTTTTTCCATAGAATGAAAGACAAAGATAAAGATATTTCCCTCATATGGCAAATGGTATCGACAAACTGCTCCCTCCTAAAACCCAGCATCACCCTTGATCCCTCCCTTTTACCCCGCTTTCATCCAGTCCTGACTGCCCTGCCTCCAAACTCTCTCAAGTCCATCTATTTCTCTCCATCTGCACAGCCAACAGCTTAATCTTAATAATCATTTCCCTTGTCTGGACCCCTGCGGTAGCCTCTTGACTATGGTAGCCTCGCCATCAACTGTCCATCTCAATTCCATCCATTCTTCCCATAAACATTAAAATATATAGGATTGAAAACCTTAAACATAAGATGCCATAGAACTAACCTATAATAAAAGCTGATTTATAAGACGTCATAATTTCCAAGCGTAAGCAAAGTGACCTGGGTGTGACTTCAAAGAGGCACATTTGGTGCAGGTCTCATGGCTTCTAGGAAAGGGGAGCCCAAAGTGGGAAAATCTGTATATGTAACTATGGCCTCTCCAGGGAAGACGAGACTCTTATCACACCTGGACATGAGAGATCTCTCTCTCCCTCATCCTCTCCCTCTCTCCTTTGTAAATCTACTGTACAATGAGAGTGGACATGGACGCAGAAAGCCAGCTCTCAGACCAAGCAGTTGCCTCCTGGAGGCTGATATTTTTGCTACCAAGGCTGCCTTTTGAGAATCATTCAGACTCCCATGAAAATTCTCCAAAAGGAGAAAATGCACGGATAATCATCCTGTCTACCTATCAGTCTTGCTTCTTAGTATATGAATAAATTTGCATTGTTTAATGCATCTGTCCTTTGTGAGGTCGTCACCCCAACCGCAAATACTTCTGAGTAGACTAAATCATGTTCTTAGTATCTATATTAATTCAGTTGCATAAGAAACCACCTAGCCATGCAGTGGCTTAAAGGCACAGCTGTTTATTGATCTCATGATTCTGTGTGTCATCAATTTAGAGTGGGTTAAACTGGCTGGTGCTGCTGATTAGAGCTACCATGTTGACCTTGGTTGGGACTTACACATGTAGCAGTAACCACCTGCCAAGCTGACTGGGTGCTGACTATCAGTTTTTTTCCACATGGTGTCTCCTCCCCCGGTAGGCTAGCCTGGGCTTGCTGGCAAGATTCCAAGAGCGCTAAAAGGACAAGCCCCGATGCACCAGCACTGCTTTTCAAGTCTTTGCTCATGTCACAGACGCTACTGTCTCTTTGGCTAAAACAAGTCAAAAAGGCTAATCCCAGATGTGGCACGGCACTCCTAAAGGACATAGATACTGGCAGCCATGAACAAATTGAACTGTCCTTGCAATCAATTCACCAAGCATCCAAGGCCAATAGCCAGAACACAGTAATGATATCAAGGAACCACCATAATAAAATCAGGCAGCCTCAGACATGCTTGAGTCACTATCTGTTTACAGTACATCCAACAGTTGCAATATTCTACACCATTTCCTTGAAATAAGATCAAGCCATGTACATGAGAGACGAATTGAATTTAAAAAGCCCTTGGGGCGCCTGGGTGGCCCAGTCGGGTAAGCATCCAACTCTTGATTTCAGCTCTGGTCATAATCTCATGGTTCATGACGTTGAGCCCCACATCAGGCTGCACGTTGACGGCACAGAGCCTGCTTGGGTTTCTCCCCCCTCTCTCTGCCCCTCCCCTTCTCTCTAAATAAATAACAAATAAACAAACAAACTTAAAAAAAAAAAAGAAGCCCTTAATCCCTAGGAGGCACTGCCATCTCTGCCTGCCCTATATTTCTGTGTAACTACCAGGAATACAAAGTGTCAATGGCATGGCTCATATCCATGCTGTATTGTCAGGAATGGGAGCAGGCAGTGAGGAGCCAATTCTACCCTTTGGCATGTAAGGACTCTCAAGTTTCAGCATCCATAGGAGATGTCACATTTTTCTGACCTTTTATGAAATCTGACTCATTGTGCTATGCTACTAAAACAAAGAAGAGTAAGAAAGAAATCATGTATGTGTTTCCAAAATACAGTTGGTAAAGAGACCTCTTTGTACTAACAAAACTAAACTAAAAGCTCTCTAAAGCAATTAGATCAGAAGTCTATGGCATTTTTCAAACAGATGAACTCAATAAAACCTAGGTTGTCTTCCAGAACAT